AAAAAAATAATAATTTCTAATTAAATAATAAATAATATTAATATATTATTCAATAATAAACTTTTTAAAAAAATGGCATTATGTCTATAACAATTGTGTATGTATAATAATACATTTAAGTTACCTCGTTGATTCTAATTAAAATATTGTGAAAATAAAAGATATTTTTAAATTATGAATATAAATCTAGAAAATTTCTAAAATAATTTTGACTACTTTAGAATTGTATTTAATACTTATTATATATATAATACTTTAAAACTGTATACAATTCATTAAAAATGTTATTTAGTAGGTACCTAGGTATATTATAAAAATAAAATAGGAACCTAATATGTCTTAAATAATAGATAAGAGGTACCTGTACCAGATAGTTTCATAAAATCCAAAAATATAACAAATTTTTAAATGCATGTCCTAACTTAAAACCAACATAAATTTTAAGCAAATTTAAAAATCAATAACTATATTAAGTACCTTATATTCATAAAATATCAATAGCTAATTAACTTATAACTGTATTGGTAGATAATTTATATCAAATAATTTTAAGTATAGGTATTGCACCTGCCTACCTATTACTACWATTTATTAAATTTAATGAGATCAATTACTGGTCACACACAATTATAATAATCACAAAATAGGTCATTGTATTTAGATAAGTATGCTATAGGCATAAATGGCTTAAAAATGGAACATAGAATCGATTACCAAATTAATAAATAAGAACATTATATTAGKTAGAACTATTMAATTTTAATATGGGTAAGTAGAACAGAAGTTATACAGAATTAATGAAAAAAAAATGATTAATAGCACAATAAGCATAAATGGACAAATGGTCATTTGAATTGATGAGCAAAGTTAATGAATCAGTTTGATTAATAACTAGGTAATAATTGCAGTATCAGGTAGGTACAAACAATGTCCATCGACCAATTATTAAAATGCTACATTAAAAATAAACAAATTGACTGAGAAAATCCCCCAATGGATTTTTCAGCTTACCTATTATAATTTATAAAGCAATGGCTCTATTTATCACTTTGTTAAAAAGAAAATAATCATAGGTCAAGGTCAAAAATAACTTCACCCACTAGAAAATAGTGTACTACACCTTACCCTATGATCAATTACCCTCCTAATTTATCATCATTATGAAAATCAAAAATAATAATAGGTGATTTGTGACAAAAAAAAAGTCAAACTCAGCCAGTTTTATTTCTATACTTGCAACAACATAATAAATTGTAATAAAAATAATATTGACACACACCTTGGATTTCGGCTGCGGCTTTTTAGCGAAGGGTTGTTTGGCGTTCAGCACGCCGAGCACCGATCGACGTTTTGAGGGTTGCTGATCCCTCGATGGCACATTATTTTCCTTGTTCCGCAAAACGTTGTTGGTGTTTTCTTGATCCCGAAAAACCGTGAACTCCATCTTTCGCTGTTTCGTTCGGTCACCGCGATGTGTAATTAAAATKAATAATGATGATATACGTTATTATTATAATTATTGGTGTCACGGATTTTCACGGTGACAGCGCTGGACGGTTGTTGTCAAGCTTTGAAAGTCGCCATTTGGACGCAAACGATATTCAATATTAAATGTTGTAGGAAACAATATTTTTATCGTGTTTTTGGTSGTAAAAAATTGAAAAAAAAAATTCGCGAATTATACTGGTAATTAATGTAAATATTACGATGTGAACACACTAATAAKTAATAATCGAGCGAGATTAATAAAATAAAACTTACGTAACAAAATGATGTGAATTGATGATAAACGTTCTAATAATTGCGAAATACACTCAAATACTAAATATTTGCTAGATATTAATAACTATTAGTAATCGATATTACATCGACGAGCTCGAAAGTGTTTGATGTTTAAACGGACGACGGGACTAAACGTTGCGCGACCCGACCGCCTGTAATGGAAAAAGACTCCCGACAAATAATAATTAACAAATGCTCGCAAAATCGTAACCGTTATTTTTTTTCAAATGACAGGTGCAGCTGCTGTGGCGCTCGCCGCTCGCGGTTCGGCCGGACCAGCCGCGATCATCGGCAACGCGTAACCGGTACGGTGCTACCGACCTACCGATTACCATCGAGTTGGTTACACTGTCAACATCCTTTTCGCGGATAACGAAATATGTCGAGAGAATTTAGTATTTACGAATATTGCTAATTTTATTACGAAAAGCGGGAACGGTCGTGGATCTTTAGGATTATTCAATTTGCTATGGATCATTTGGACATGAATATTCAGTCTTATAGATGAGTTAGAATGTTGGATTATGAATATTAAATAAATATACATTTTACATTTTAACTGTAGTCACCAATTCAAAGTGGATCTATAAATTCACCTTACACCAGTGACCAGTCTATAAATATATAGAAGTAATTTAGTAAGATCATAACTCATAAGATATGCATTTTTTATGATCCATGTTCTAACTTTCTAAGCCATCAGACTTCTCTAAGTATAGAGCAGTTGAATGGCATGTTTGAACTTTTAGATAGACTATTCAAAATTTAATGTCAAAATTCCATTTTACAATATTTATTAAACTAATAAATTCTGATTAACTTCTGAATCGTTGAAACCTTCGTTATTACAACTTAATCAACTTAATGCATAAATGCATTAGCTAAAAGCCTGTGCAGCAAAACGTAAATACTGATTAACTTATTTTTTTAATTTATACGTCTACTTCTTGTAAGTTTTGTCAAGTCTAGGTCCTTCTGTTTCAATTTAAAAAAGCAGTTAAGCAGGTATGTGGATATTGCTCTGCTGTACAAAAGTTTACAAGTAGGTTACTGTAAAAGATGATATTAAATTTGAATTCAATAATATAACTTAATTATATACGAAAAACGTTTTTGAGCGGAGACGGTTTGTCAGTCTAGAATATTTTATACTATATATTAGTTATATTGCTATTAGTTCAACAAAAAAATGCAGGTAGGTATCTGCAAAAAAATTACAAATTAATCAAATCAGATTCATTGTGTACCTGACTCACTCTTAGTCGGGGCTGGATTTAAGGTTATGGGGGCTCTATCCCCCAGGGCCCACATAAAATTGAAATATAAGAATTTTCAGTTGATCTATATACTTATCCTTGAACTTTAAAATTATATTACTGATGGGTTATTCCCTCATCATGCTATTCATTTCTTATCTTAAATAGAATATTTTTTTGCAAATTACTAGCAAAATTAAAAAACAAAAAAGTAATCATTTTGTAGGGGCCTCTAATTAATTGAATGTTGTGGCAGCCCCGCCCCCTCCCCTAAGTCCGGCCCTGCTCATTGTCATTCATACTAATATACTATACACAATATTTATTACAAAGTATTAATATAAAACTCATTAACGACATTAACTATTATTATTAGAATATAAAGTGTATTCTCTAGAAATTTCAAGTACTGAAGTACCCAGTAATAATAATCCTAAATTACAACAGTATAACTAAAATTGTTATTCTTGATTATTTAATAATATTATGTAATTTCATCAGAATTTTAACTTAAAATGATTAAAATAAACTTTGTTTGTGTACCTAGTTTTTAGATTTAATTTTTCTGTGTGGAATTAACTACTTACGAGAACCTTGTTTTTAATTTTCAATCCATTAAAATTTAACCATTTAAATTAAACGTTTTAAACAATTTTAACAACTAAAAATTTTGTAAATTTTCAACTTAATACATGTTGTCAACATTTAAATTTTAAAAGGTTATAAAAAAAACGTGACTTTATATTTTTAATATTTTCCAACTGCTATCATATCAACCTAAGACAACCTTGTATTAAATTTTCAAGTTTAATGACCCAATGAAGCAACGAATAAGATTAACAAAATAAAAAATATGGTGTAAATTTCATGTTTCTACAATATTATTCATTTTTGAATAACAGAAAAATAAAAATATCGGTACAAGAGAAATTGAGTGAATATTCAATGTTGTAATTAAATTAATGCTCATGAAAATTCAATTTAACTTTCCGGTAGACATTTTTCATTTGATAAAATAAGTAGAAAAACTCATGAAGAATCTACCATTGAATTTTTAAATCTTAGATCATTTCTAACTTAAAATAAATTTCAAATTTCAAATGTCTATAAATAACTTTAAAAGATTTGAAATATTTTGAAAATTTTATCAAGTATAGAAAATGCTAGTATAAACATTTAGTGAAAATGTCATGTGTCTACGATAATTTGTTTCAAAATTACACCAATATCTAAAATCAATATTCTCAAAAATTGATTTTGCGTAAAATTTTTTTTTTCTCAGTCCTTTTGAAAACTATTAGGAATTTTCCAACCGGAAAAACTACTACAGTTGAAAATCGAAGAATTATTTCAACAATTTATCGTGTATACAGACACTAAATAAATAAACAATAACACACATCAGGGTCTAATATTATAAATTTATACATAACAGGTGTCAGGTACACCTAACCCATTAATTTTTACCAACATCTTAGATTCTGAGCGGAACGAGTAATGTATTGATTTTACAATGAGTGTTTTTTAAACTTTTTTTTAAATTTTTTTGTGTCTATCATCACGTTTTGGGGCAGTAAAAGTGCTTTGATTTTCGACTTCAGTACCTCGTTCGATCAGAAAGTGAATCTAGTTGGTAAAAAGTAAAAATAATAAATTCTCAATATTTCTAAATAATCGGGATAAATAAATTAAAAATTAAGGGGGAAAAGGTGAATTTTTACGCACAAATAGTTTTCGACAAAATCAATTTTGGTGTTTAATGTAACTTTTAAACAAATGACCATAAATATATGAAATTTTTACAGAATGTTTATATAAGTAGGTATATTCTATCCACCATGCAATTTTGAAAAATTTCGACTTAAGTTGAATTATTTATAGGCATATACAATTTTCAATCAATATTAATTTTTTTTAAATTAATATCGATAAAAATGTATTTGTTGGATAGAAAAGCTTGAAAATTTAATACAAAGCTCCTAACATATTGTTACAATAGCAGTTGACAAATAAAAGAAATACAAAGTCACATTTTTTTTTTTTTTAAAGCATTCAAAGTTTGAATTTTGACAAAATACGTAAAAATCACGAAAATTCGCAAATTATTTTAAGCTAAAAATTCATAAAAAATTTTCTTTTTAAATCTAAGATTTGAAAATTTAATTCAAGATTCCTTATAAGCCTAAAATCCTAACCTTAAGTGCCTCCAATGGGCGGCTTCTTATCTCCAGACACTCAAGCCATGTCACCTCCATCACATGCACTTATTGTAAAACAACATTTACAGATTATGTATATTTAAATAAACGATAAAAAAAAAAGAAAAAGATTCCTTATAAGTTTGTCCACCTTTATCAAAAAAAAAATGTCCACCGGAATGTCCAATATTTTAATAAAGATTAAGAATAAGTAATAACTAATAATAATCTATAATATAATATATCCTTGACAGATAAAGACGGTTTCGTCTTCGCTCAGAATCGTTTTACGTATACAATGATATAATATCATATTGGATTCAAATTTAATTCCATCCATTACAGTAACCCACTTGTAAGTTGTAACCTACTGTACAGCAGAGCGATATCCACTTTCCCGCTTATTTTTTTTTTAAATTTAGATACTGAACACTTATTATTACCTAACCACCAAAATATTTCTACTTTTAAAAATTTCGTGGGGAGTGGGTCCGGACCCCTGGATCTCCCCAGTTACGGCCTTGATCTGTTCATCACGACTAAAAAATAAGTATTAACACTAAACTAACCAAAATAATGTACAAACGCTTCCATTAAAATCTAAGTACCTACGCATACAAACACTTTAATGCTATTATTAATTTTACTTTCCGGTTTAATATTTTTTTTATGTATAAACCTATGAATAATCAATCTTGTATTACATTTTCAAATCTTAGATATAGAAAGAAAAATGTTACGAGTTAAAAATAATACTAATTAATTTCAAAATACCTATAACTCTTAGTCTCATATTACGACGATTTTGACAATTATCGAAAAATCTAAGTTTAAACACTTATAAAAAAATATAGTGACGCTAAATTTACTCTAGCTTTATAGAAAAAACCCACACCCACCTAATCCATCATTTTTAACTCCATCTTTCAACTACGTTTTGAAGAAAAAAATTACTTAATAATAATAAAAATTGTAAGTAGGTAGGTAAATATATAATATTAGGTATTGCATGCATATATGTCACAGATAAAGTCATCGCTACAACTATTAGGTACGACCGCTATCGTATTTTATAAATAACCAATTCTTATTTCCGAAATTCCGCGTTATTGATTGAGTAGGTATTATTTATATAATAATTGAGTAGGTAAGCACGAATAACGTATTATATAACACTATTAACATTATTATTAACACTTTTTCAAATAAAAACTTGATGACCTTTGAAATTTGAAGCCCGTGGCGATTACTCCTCTTAAATACGCCACTGCAATCAGTCAGTTTATCCTTTTATATGTATAAATATATATTTAACATGCTCTGGGGCTGTATTATTTTTTAAAATTACCCCATTACCTAAGGTTTTTATGGATATAATATATAAATATTAAATATGTTGAACAGTCTATGAAAATAAATTAAATGCTCGAACCAATTTAGTTCTTTTTTCTTTTAGGTTCGTAAAGTCGCTTAGTTTTTACGGATAGAAAAATTAGAAAATGTGCCTTAAAATTCGGGAAAACTGAAAATGCTTTTTTGACTGACTGGTAACGTTGAGCATAAGTACAGATTATAAATTATGATAGCTAGGTTTTTGATACCTATTTAGGTAATACATATTACTATGGAAATTTAAAATTGATTTTTCTTAATAAATGGTCACCATTAGTTACCTACTCAGATAGAATAGATAGATAGTAAAAGTATAGAATAAAGAAATTACTTACCTATATCTTATTTTACATTCTTCATTAATCATTATTATTCACAGGTGAAAAAGTGTTTTACAGCTAAAACTGGATGTTGGTTTTTCCAAAGTTGACAGACTCAATAATTACAGAATCATTTTCAATAAAATTCATATCAATAGATTCTTTAAGACCCGGCTCTGCGGCAATGGGGTATGGTGGTCGTCACACCCTCCCCGATTGAATTTTTCGTAATTTTCAGCAGGCATTTTCTTCGTAGCAGGGAGCCGTTGTCCGTTGGAGATAATACGATTAATTGAAAAAAAAAATATGATTCAGGAACAATTATAATTCTTGGCAGTCGGCAGTAATTTTTAATGAATTTACTAAATAATTATTGACTCTGCGATAACGTATACAGTATACTGATACAAATATGGAGAGCCCCTTATTTTCCTTGTTCCCATTAATTTCGACTGTACGCTGTTGCCAATTTAAGGGTTTACCGATTTAAAAATCTTAATACTGCCGACTTATATGGATTACTTGAGTGTAATGATAAAAAAATAGGCAACTTTAAATCAACGCCGAATAATTATATTATATACATTTTATTGCATTTTAAATAGGTACATAATATGTATTTTTTTTTTTTTATTTAATATGTATACTTATTTATGTTTTACTTAATTATTTATGACTATTTAATTTTGAATGTTATTTATTTTATTAGCTTATACATTTTTAATTTATGAGTAATTACACTTGTGACAAAATGTTAAATTTGTATAAAACACATAATAAATAAGTGAAATATAATATTATGTAATTATACTTCAGGTAATCAGGTTATATTTGCTGTTAAATATGATGTACATGTACCTACTAGTTGCTATATTATTTTAMCTTTACAGCTGTATGAAATACAAGTAACAAATCTTTTAGGTATACAAAGAATGCTTCAAAATGTTTTAGTTTTATACCTATTCAGTATTTTTTTTTTATATAGGTACCCAGTGATCTTTAATATTTATCAAATTTGAGTTATTTGATCAAACTATTTTACTTCACCATTACTATTGTGCAGAAAAACCAGAAATTTTTATACTTCACATTGTTTGTGTTAAGAAATGTTGAGTCGGCATAAATTAAATCTAAATCGGCAAATACTTGAACTTCCCCTCCCCCCATAAAAATTTGTTTAAAATGGCTCTGTATGAAACTTAGAAGTTAAAGGGTGTATATTGCATACAGCCAGGTAATATTTAACTAAAGTATAGCTCGCACATGAATTTCTTTCGTTTATTTAAATGATTATTATTGTTTACATATTATCTTACTATAATACTATAATTATTAGTAGGTACATGATATCAATGTTTTTTTTTACACATTTTTGGTATGGGTAGGATATTTTTAATGTTTTATGTGAATTACTATTAAAATCAAATATATAATAAATTTACTTCCATAGTTTATTAAAGTTTAATCCAATTAGCCCAACATTTTAAATAAGTAGTAATAAATATTTAGAATAATGGAAAAATTTCATGATTTAATGACTACAATTATGTATAAGTAATAAAGKAAATAATCATTTCACTCTAATTTTAGAAATTGTTATGATCATAAATATTATAATCATTATTGTAAAACTAAAATTTGCTGTTACGCATGTGTCAAAGAGAAAAAAATGCACCTACATCTTCTTAAATAAGTACATATTGCAATTATTACTCTACATTCAAAAATTATACAGATCTCTATAATTAGTATATATAACTAAAGTAGGTAATGGTGTATTTAAACATTAAACACATAATTTATAATGTAATTATCTAAAAACCAAATGCAATAATAAAAGGTGTTGAAAAAAACTAAAAAGATTTATCAGTATGGACATAACACCAAGGAATAAAAAATAATAAAATTACTTCATTTTATACAGTTTGAAAAAAATGGAAACATACCTATTAAAATATAATACACATAAACAGGCTCCGATGAGAATTTATCTATATGATATTTCCTAAAATTAAGGAGATACCTATCATAGTTTTGTTTATTCATAAGATTTACTAGGACAATCACTATAAATGATTCTTATTTCAATTTAATTTACTGATTTAATAAAAACAAATTTTATTTAATTATTTCCAAAAAATGTGACCATGACATCATGAAGATCGCATCCATTATCTTGGGCATACAAGAGGCAGTTAAAATGCCCATTAAGATCAGCGTTTCTGCAAGTTTTATCGTCCCATTTGCATCCGTTCTCGTGGGCGTACTCTAAACAGTTCATGTGGCCTTTAAGTGCAGCGTTACTGCATGTTAACTCATCCCATTCGCAACCATTTTCGTGGGCGTATACCAAGCAACGCATATGCCCACCCAAGGCAGCATTGCTGCATGTCATCGCATCCCACTTGCAACTGTTCTCGTGAGCATACACTAATAAGTATAAATGACCATTAAGTGCAGCGTTACTGCAAGTTAACTCATCCCATTCACAACCATTTTTATGGGCATATATCAGGCAATCCAAGTGCCCGCCTAAGGCGGCGTTGGCACACGTCATGATGTCCCACTTGCACCCATTCTCATGAGCATACATCAATATATCCAAGTGGCCATTAAGTGCAGCGTTACTGCAAGTTGATTCGCCCCATTCGCAACCGTTTTCGTGGGCATATACTAAGCAATCCAAGTGCCCACCCAGGGCAGCGTTATTGCACGTCTTAATGTTCCACTTACACCCATTCTCATGGGCATACATGAGACAGTCCAAGTACCCATTCGCTGCAACACTACGACAAATTTCCTTCTGGTGCCACTTGCACCCATTCTCGTGTGCATACGCAAGACAATCCAAGTGCCCATTTGACATAGCGTTCCTGCAAGTATCCTCATCCCATTCACAACCATTTTCATGAGCATAAACCAGGCAGTCCAAGTGCCCGTTCAGTGCAGCAGCACTACACGTTGTCTCGTACCAATCGCAGCCGATTTCATTAGTAATCTTGACACTCGGAATGGAATCAGAAGGTTTGTTGAACACGCCGAACGCGGCCAAGATAAAGGGATCATTGTTTGTCAACGGTAGGAACGGTTCGTCCCATGGGACACCGATCTCGTGAGCAAATTTCAAACAATTTATGTGTCCGTGATACGCGGCAGATAAGCTAATTTTTTTGAAATTGTTTTTAGGGCTAACGGACTGCACCTTATCAAACATGGACTGCCTGTCACCGAGCGGGTCGAAAACACCGCTTTTGGAGTTCAGATGTACGATTTCGAACAGCGACTTGCAACAATACTTCAAATTGACCTCCGGGACATCAAAACTTTTGTACTGTGACAACTGGATCTCGTTACACGCATAGTACGCCGATAGCAACAGGCTGGGCACGGTGTAGGTTTTTTCATTGGCCATTATCGTGGTAGTTTCTTCCAAATGGCAAGAAATGGGCTTGCGTAGTTGCGTGTACATTAAATTAAAACTTAAAATGGGAGCTCATAACATTTAACAATGATCAAAATCAACATTAAAAACCAAAACTTATGAGAGTATAAGTATAGACTTCCACAGTTCTACATCCCATAACGAGGATGTCGCATCTCGCATGTGCGACTGTGCTAAATGCCAATAAATCATGCAATAAAATACTGAAATCTGAGAAATTGACTGSTCTAAGTACTAAGTTAAGTTGTAACTGTACAATTGTATAGAAATAAGTATTAAGTAATAAGTAATAACTAATAGTATTTAAAAATGTTGTAAACAAGATACAACAACACATTAAGTTCAGAGCACTAACCTAACAAAATATAATAAAATCTGTGATAACAACTGATAACGATTGTGTGATGGCCGTGGCCGACGGGCGACGAGTGTTTTTGAAATCTGTAATAGTTGTTCTGCATTCGAATGTTTCGAATTTCGAATCCTGTCAATCAGTCGTAAACTAAGACTTTTTCGAAATGAACTCGATCAAGAAGTAAGTATTCTATTGATATTTTATAAACCTGATAAATGGTTTATTACACAAGTAGTAGATACTTATGCCTGAATATCTCATTCTACAAAATACAGATATATATCCAAGTTGACATTTTTTTATTTTATTTTTTTTTAGAAATATACAAGACACATACACCAAGGAATATCTCGTAAGTTTATTTTTATTCTGTGTGATTTTTATTTTCATGCATGACGTATTGAATACAATAACAAAATTGTATTGTTTTAGGCACTAAATAAAAGGAATGATGGTAGAGAATTAATGAACTTTCGGGATGCATCACTGAATTTAAATACAATACACACAGCAGATGGATCGGCAGCAGTCAAAATTGGGAATACAGCTGTTATTTGTGGCATCAAAGCAGTAAGATAGGTTATTTAATTTTAATTACATTTTAGCATTTTATTGAGTATCTTCGCTTTTTCAGGAACTAGGTGTTCCTAAAGCTGAAACTCCTGATATTGGATATCTTTTAGTAAATATTGAACTACCTAGCCTATGCTCTAAAAAAATTCGACCTGGAATCCCATGTGATGAAGCAATGCAAATTACCAGCTTTCTCAATGAAGTGTGTAATAATTGCAAAATACTAGATCTGCAACAATTATGTATTTCTGTTGATAAATTAGTCTGGATCTTGTCGTGTGATATATATTGTTTGAACTATGATGGATCTGTTTTAGATGCATGTTTAGTAGCCTTGTTATCAGCACTACAAACAGGTAAATTTAAGGGTATTTTAATGTCAACATATTTAATTATTTAAATAATTGTATTATAGTTAAGTTACCAGAAGTAAAATATGACAAAGAAACTGAAGAAACAATCGTCATTGAAAATTACATTCCGTTAAAAGTTAACAGTTTACCAGTATCATCAACTTTTGGGGTATTTAATGAAAAATACATTTTAGCTGATCCAACTGAAGAAGAAGAGCAATTATGTGTTAGTAAATTGACAATTGTGACCAATGGCTCCTTATTATTTTCATTACATAAACCTGGTAAGTTACAATTTTATAAGTTAATTCAATTATTATTATTTATTTAATTAATTTGGAATCATATTTTTGGCATAATTTATAATCAATGATGTTAAAAATCTTTTTATAAAGGAATCTGTTCAATTCCTCGTTCCTCTAAAACAGTATCTAGTTCCTAGTTACCTTATTTTACATTAATACTTTATGAAATTATTTTATTATACTAAATATTTTAATTTTAAGTACAATTATCAATTAATGTGTATAAAATATTATTTCAAATATACCTCAAATAGTACATAATACAAATTATAGGTACTATCAGTGGCTAAACAAACATGATTTTTGAGAAGCGACTGCTTCTCGATTTTTTAAAAATATTTAGAGGTGGGTAGGTGCTTAACTCGTTGACTGCCACGCATCTGTGTATAATAATAATTAACTATTGATAATTTTTAGCCTGCCAGCTGCCGCATCATATCATTGTAGCCGCGGGCTGCCGTAAATAAATTTGGATTTATATTATTAACTTTTCTATGGCGCTACAATAATGATCTTGAAAATATGCTGTGGCGTAGTGGGAATAATTGCAATTTGGGGGTGGAGTGGCCGAGCGGACTAAGGCGTCGGTTGCGATGCACGCAGTCGCCAGTTTGAATCTTGGTCACGGGTGGCATCGCTCTTTGGGCATTTTGCAGTGTCTGGAGAGAGAGGCCGTCGCCCCCCAACCGGGCATGGCAGAAACCTACAGGAGCCCATTCAAAATTCTGCCAAAAACCTACAGTACCTTCCCCTACAGTTCCCCAGGCTAATGACCTCAGTTGTCGAAGCCTTACCCTAAAAAAAAATKTCTTTTGATGTAATAAACATGATTTTAACATTTTTTTTTTTTTTCAAATTCAATAGTATATATTATACAAATACAAATTTATAATGACACTGAAAAATGTCTTTGGCGTACGGCGCGTACCCATGATAAATATTCTTGAGGCCGCTGGCGGCTGCATGGCAGTAAACATGTTAATATAAGAAAGCTAAAGCTATTGCTAAAAATATTAATTATAGTAGGCTAATAATAATACTAATATTACTTGTGTTTATTATACGTTTTTGGTAATTGGGTGGGTAGGTAGTAGGTACATTATAGGTTGCTTATGGGTTATTTTAGGTTTGTTTTGCCACTGGGTACTATACAAAAAAATTATAATATTAACGTTCCTATTACTAAAAATAAGGAATTAATTCATGTTCCTATTCATGTTCTTTTAAAAAATAATGGAATTAATTCCAGGAATCATTTCTTAACACCTCTGATACTAATGAGTATACAGGGCTCGTGAGTAGTATAATTGTTTGGTTTTAATACACAGCAAAGGTATGCAACTATTGTGTATTTACAAATGTCACAATTTCAAGATTTTATTTCTCGTGGTGACTATAATAATTAATAGTATACTATAGTAGCACTAGTTTTGTGGATTAAATATAGAGTATTATTTATTTAATTTATCATAGTGTTTTCTATGTGCAGCAGCACAGAATCCAGTACAATTACACATTATTAGCTAGATTGCATTAAAAATCAATAAAAAGCAATGCTAAATTAATATGTATCGATCCATTGTGATTTTCACTTCTAAGGAATCCATTTACATATTAACTCTCCCAAAATTATATTTAATATTGTTACGAGCTAATAGATGGCTAGTAGTACTTTAAAGATGAATTTATTTTCACCCACAATCACGTGACCGACTATAACAGTTTGTACCCACTGAAATTTTATTGATAGCTCACCTAAACAATCCACCCTACTTAACAGCAAACGTTCAATGAATCAATAGTGAGCTAATAATTTATTATATTGATCAATGGTTTTAGCATCAGCTTATTTAAAAAACTTTTAGTGCTTAATATAATGCTGAATATTTAATCTTATATCAGTTATATAAGATACTTAACTTGAAATTAAATTGAAAAATACTAAATTAAAATTGATATATATATATATATATATACAATATGGATGGTGCTAGTTCATAAATAATCTTATCTACATAATATAAAACCCATTGATTAAAATGTATGAGCAAAAGATTTAATTGTATTTTTGTTATTATTTTTAGGAGGAGAATTCATAAAAGATAGCCAGATTCAAAATTGTATAAGACATGCTAATAACAGAGCACAAACAATTTATAAATTAATAAAAGCTGCACAATAAATTTTTTTTTTTTTTTAATTTTTAATTTTTTTGAACAATAAGTACTTAATATTATGAAATGTATATTTGTTTGTCATTTATCATGTTGTTCTTACTAATATATATTTTTTTTTTAATTTTAACTCATACTTAAAATAAAAATTGTATCTAAACCAATTCTGGTCCAGAAGTAACTAAAACAGTTCATGTAGTAATAATTGTTTTTAAAACTGGCTGCTGAGTTTATACTAGATTAACTGGTGCATACATATATGAGTTACATTTTTAATGTTTAAGTGACTTAATGTTATGGAAGTTAATTCACCAGTTGCTCAGACTCGACAGTTAACAGTTGAAGTCAAAAGTGATAACTTATATGTAGTAGATGGATGCTGGATGCAATCCTATTTGTATGTAATGTCTGGTGGTTTTGGTTATGTCTTATGTTCCTAAAGGCAATGATAAAATGTGCAGGTGTGCAATCGGTAAAATATGGAGAACCTAAATGTATAATTAATATTAATGTTCTCTGTTAATATTGACATTAAATAAATAAAAATTTGATTAAATTGATAATTGTAATCAACTAAACAACTGCATATAACTATTTACTAGTATATAGGCTATTTAGCTACAGCTGTAAATGGGTAGGTACGTCAAAAATATTCTCAGTAAAATACCAAAGTAAAATTAACTATGGTTATTGGTAATATTTTCTTTATAATTATATTAATAATGGATGTTCTCAAATTATAATTTAACAGTAGAAATTGTGTATTATGATCGCGGATTTCTATGCAATTGCATATTTTTTTCCTTTTAATATTTTTGGATTGATGTCAGTTATGTCCACGAATCATCATAATAATTTGAAGCTAATGATGAAAGTTTTTTTGCATATTTTGGCAAAATTCAAAATGTATTGCATATTGAAGCGAGCATTTTAAATAATGTATAAAATAATATTTTGTCAAGTAGAAAAATTAAAWCTAAATTTCATAGTCACTAAATAATAATTTATGTATATTATTTATTTAAACCTTTATAAGATAAATAATCGATTACAATGTAAAGTAATGCTGTGTCAGTCGGTTATCGACATACCACTCGACACTCGGTTACATCGTTTTCCGTTGTCCGTAAATCGTTAATATGCCGAAAATAAACATTCAGCTCGAAGATCTTTATCAAGACCTGACAATACTAAGTTGCTTCAAATATGCCCCAATAACTTCAGTTGATGTTGAACGTTTGTTCTCAGTCTTTAAGAATATGTTAACCGATAAACGACACAGCTTCACACTCATCACAGAAGAAAAACTTGAAATGCATATGATTATTCATTTTAATAATAAATAAAATTTTAAAAATAAATTAAGGTTTTCAGAAAATCCCCTAAATTTTTTTTTATTATGTATTTAAATAATTAATTATTATAAGTTTTACTGTAAATTTTAAATAAATAAAAATGATTGCATATTTTTAACATATTTTCATGATTTTGATTGCATATTTCGATACTTATAAGTGCATAAAAATCCGCGCTCTAATTATGACAGACGAGGCACCATGAAAAAAGTCATAATAACTGATAGGTGGTCCATAGTCACTAGTCATAATGTTTCAAAACAGTATAAACTAGAATCTATAGGTGCATTATAATATGATCTTAGCTGTTTTTATGTGTATTATGGAGGGATCTATGCTTCCCAAAAATTGTGTTTACCCTCCTCCCCCATTAAATTTTTTGTTACATTCTTAAATTATATATTGTGTTTGGAGAAACACAGTTTTCAAAAACCAATTTTAAAAATTCCTGTTTTTTCTTAATTTTTTTTTTTGAAACTGAGAAATCTTCAAATTGCATAATAATGATCTAATATATACAGGTACAATAACCAAATAGCCAATATTGAACACCTACTATGCCTATGTATAAAAAAAATTAGACACAATTTTCATAACTCTTATACAAGATATTAAAATAATAGCTTCATATTAATTCTTTAATGATTTTGTTTTATTATAATGACCATGGTACGTATATTTTCTGTTAAATTAATATTTTTATTAAACAATACAAATGAAGTAGGTAGAACTTACAATTGATCTGGCGTCTAGGTTTGCAATTATACATAATATATAAAATAGAATGCCTAATACTCACACGTCTCACACATATATGTAGCCATGTAGGTATTTAATCTAGCCAGCGGAAATGATATTTAAGTCATTATCGCACATACAGGGTTGTCAAGTGGTGCTTAGCACCCCTGAGTCTTAAATTAGCACCCTCAAATTATTTTGGGTTAAAAATATTGTTTTAAGTGTAATTTTACATTTAGAATGGATTAATTCCAGTTTATAATGATAATACACTAATTTTTACTTCAAAATTTTGTTTTCATATACTGTCTACCGGAATGATGGTTTATTGATATTAACTAAAATTGTTTAGCTTGATAGTATAGAAATGTTCAACCATCTATCCTAAGTTAGTAGTTTTTTCAATATAGTGTTCTCGATTCAGTGACAATATTACTGATATTGAATTATTTTATTTTATCATTATTTACATTTTTCTACATAAATACCAACAACTTATTAATGTGGTATTAAATTTCCAGTACATATAAATTGAGTAAAATAAAAAAAAAAAAAAAATTGTGAAAGTATTGAAAATGTAGATGACCCTGATTGTAACAATTGTTCATCAAAGAATATCATGATAGTCCAGTGGCGTATATAGAAATAGTTTTGGGGGTAATGGGGTGGGCTATAATATATAACGACTAACAATAATTATTTATCACCTAGAGACTACAATATAGTTAACAATTAAGACTGTAATTTCGGGAGGGGCTGCAGCCCACTAGGCCCACCATATATACGCCACTGTAATAGTCGTTACTCGTTATAATAAGTGGATATAGGATATATTGTAAATCAGATTCATTAATTTGAGACTTGTAATGTAGTCATAAAGTAATTTTGTTTGAAATGGTAAGTGTAACCGTATAGGTGGTTTGGGGAGAGCAATCTCCTACAATTCACTTTGAGGTTAAAGATTTTAGCACTCCGATGTTTAAGACTGAATGTGCGCCTATGATTAAAGCAAATAATTTAAATAGGTGTTAACAACAATTTTATAATTAAATTTAAAAAATGTAAAAGAATAGATTATATTTAAATTTCTATGTTAAGATAACTTTTTGGCGTAGGGAAAGTGGSGCGCCCATCGCCCCACTAACCTAACCTTGAAATTTGTTTAGCGGGATGGTCTTAAAGGCCGGAAAACCCAAAAAAAAAAAAAAAAAAATGTCAAATAACTTTAATTTTAAAATATAATACCCACTATTCATCATATGGCACAGTCCCTATATAGTAGATATATGTTTATAAATTTCTGTATTATAAAAATAATAAATTTAAAAAAAAAAATTAATATTTTATATTTGATAACTTATATATGAATTATAATATAAATATACGTACAATACACTTCACTTAACTTGATATCTTATAGGTAAGCCATAATGATTATGTTGTTATTGGTTAACATATTAAAAAAAAAAACAAATAAAACAAATTTGAAGCTTTCATGTTTTTCTAACCTAAACTAATACAGGAAAAATTTAAATGTTCACAATCTAGTCTTTAAAAATACTTTTCAAATTTATTCAAAATACATATTTATATACTTGGTGTCATTTGTATTTGAAATATGCATTCTAATACTATATTTTAAAAGTATTCAAAATATGTAATTTACCAGTACTTTTTAGTAGCATACCAATACATAAATCCTTAAATTAAATAATTAATAAACATATTCTTTAATTGGTTCAAGAACTTCAGATGTCACAAACCTGTTATATTCTCAAATTAAACTTCAGCAACATAGATATAAATGTTAGGTAATCTAAATATCTAATGAAATCTTAAAAACTTTTAGAAGCATTATAAAATATTATTTTAAGACAGATATTTAAAATGTTCATATACTTAACAAAAATGTCACATTCCCAATTAAATAAATTCATATTGAAGACTAACTCAAAATATTTACATAATCAAAATTCATAATAAAATGCTACATGAACCTACATAAAAAAAAATAAAAATATGTTGGCTATAAACTAATTTAAACAAATAAATGTAAAATTGTCTAAAAACTAAATTGTTTATTATGTAGAAGAAAACTTATGTACTAAGTTTAATCAATATTATAGTAACTTTAATCATGAAATAAAATAAAATGGACATACCAACCACCTGTCATGATCGTGGCTGTTTTTTAAATCATAAACAAAAGAATTTACAAAAATAAAGTCAATTTTCAACAAAATTAATATAATATACATTAAACTGCACAACTAATATTAAATAGTGACTTATTATAATATTATGATGTTCTTTATTGTACTCAGATAGTAAGGAATAAAATATTAAGTTGTAGAAATAAATTATACATGTAGTTATGATGATCGTTTTCGCTTATTTGATTTAATATCTTTAGTATTTGAGGATGAAGTACAATTTATTTCTTGAAATGAAAGATCATTCATCTATATAAATATTAATTAATTAATAATCAAGTATATAATTAAGTAATCTATATCAATATCATTATTATAAATTATTTGAACAAATTATATTTATTCTTTATACAATCGGAAAAGGAACCTTGGCAGCCATCTACTGTACAAAGTATCAACATTCAACAAGTAGATATTATATCTTGTTTTAATAGTGACCAAGCAATAATTGGTAGAAATATGATAATAATTGACAAAAACTGGTAGCTGTCAAGGTTCCATTTTATATTGAACAGTGAATTAGCTAATATTATAGTTTTACACCTTATGTAATTAATGGAGTGTATAAAGGTTGCCACACACTACAGCAGTGACGGTAAAATATGTCCGGCTTCATCTTGTTGTGACCGCTGCAGTGTGTAACTAACTTAAGTAATTAAGCATAGATTTTTAAGTGTATAAAACATTAACACTGATATCACTATACAAGTTTGATTTTAATAAATTTAATAAATAGGCATTTTTACCTGATCTTGATTATTGAACTTGTTTAAAGATGATGGAAGTGATTTAGTAACGGGATATCTAATCTAGAAACAAATATAAATTACAAGATACATCATTATACAGTTATGTTAAATTGTCCTATGTATTCAGAAGTTAAAACATCATATTATATTCAAGCACTGCATATTTAAGTACACAGTGAAACCTCATTATTTATTTATTTATATAAACCTCATATTAATTTTCCATTTGATTCTACTAATTTCAAATGTATAGAGATTTCACTTAAAATGCATAATTAGGTAAATACATTATGCTACCTACAATATGTAAAACAAGTTAAGGGAAATATAAACAATTATAATATGTGTATAAAAGTATTCAAAATTCAAATACATATGTAAGTGGTACATTGTTGAATTTATAATACTCAATTAAACAACTGATGATAGATAAAGTTTAAAAGCTATCAGTCAAAAATAAGCACCAAACGAGCGCAAAGTTACTTTGCTCATCTTGGGCTAAAACATGCACAATATATAATTTTTATATTTTTAATTTTTATACAACAGTAAGTTATTGTATTATAATTATGATTTTGAATTTTAAAACAATTTGGTTTTTTCATAAAACTGGCTAGTTACAATTAGGTATGGTTTTCATTAAAACATGCATTTTTTTATCTCTTTAAAATTTAAAGTGCCTTCACTCTAGAATACTTTCTTAAAAGTTCTGGAGTTCTCTTTAGTAATAACTTTGATTTAATAAAATTATATATTTATAATTAATTTACTTAAGAACCCTCCCAAATTTGTTGGGGMTATTTATTTTTTGAAAACCTATATATATTTAAAAATTTAAATCATAGAAATTGACAGAAATTGTGCTGAGCACGAATTTACTTGAATATATGATAATTCCCTCTGGCATGCTAAATCAAAAACTTCCCTCAACAGTCAACTTTTTATTCAAAACCTTCCAAGATAAATCACAGCTATTTCCAAGTAAAAACAAATGTTTTTTTAGGCTCAAGATGAAAATAATAATTTTTAGTTTGAAAATATTTTGAAGTAAAATTTAAAAAATATATATATTTCAGAATTTTTCTTCGTTGTTTTTAAATGCTTAGATACATAAGATATAACATATAGGTTTTAAAAAAAAAACAAGCCTAAAAGTCTTAGCTGTTCATAATACCTCCTGTAAATTATTATGATTAAAAATATTTAATTGATTCATTTATTTGTTAAAATAGTAATACTGCAAAAGATAGTATACTTAAACTACCTAGTAGTAAAAAATCATGCCACTGTTTTATTACAATTTATTTATTTTCTATTATTCTATTAGTAAATGTAATTAACCACATATAAATCATACCTTTATGTGAGACAAACTATGTATATTTGTAGTTAAATCATCACTGTGTTGTGTAGACCTTAGATAATCTATAGTATTAGGTTTATTTGATCTTCCTTCTGAAAACTCAACTAGTAAAGGCAAATCCTTTTTTTTAACAAAGGTTTCTGGACCTTTTACACAGATTGAATTTTGATGTATATGTTTTGCAACTTTTATATTCTTCTCCATTTCATCGTCACCAGAACTTAATTCTGATTTTTGATTTGCTGTTTCAAAGTTATTTAAAGGTTGACTGTTTACATTACCAAAAGATGTTAAGGAAAACATATTTTTTCCCAAATATTTTGTATGATATATTTTTGTTTGGCTAACTGGTTTATGTATAATATCATTGCTCACACTAGGATTTTTAAATCTTTCTAAATATTTTGATGTTAGCCGATAATCTTTGTTTAAACCAGCAGATGAAAATATTGTTATATATCTAGGTGTTAATGACACTTCAGTAGTATGACTTGATACTGTTGGTAATATAGCCAAGGGACTCGATATCGATTTAATTTCTTTAGTTGAAATTGAGTTTAATTCTTTGGGAACTATTTTAATRGATTTGTCATCAAGTAAAATATTTGATTTTGATCCTGTTAGTGATGGTCCAACTGAATTAAGACTTTTTTTTGGCAATGACGTAAGACCTAATGAAACATCTATTGGTATAGTTGAACTTCTTAATGATTTTGAATCAACAAAAACTCTGTTAATTGATGATGATTCAACTTTATGAGGAATTGACTTTTTTGATTCAACTTTACGAGAAATGGAGTTTTTTGATTCAAAAGTTTGTACTTGCTTTTTCTTTTTTTGGTCCGTATTAATTTCTGTAAGATTAAAATATATGATTATTTTTCTCATAGTAACAGCTCAGAGTTAGAAAAAAATGGTTTTTTTCATTTACTAGGTAAATAATTCTTGTAAAAATACTTTATTTATGAACTTAGAATTTACTTAGAATTTTTCTTATCCTATAATATAATGGCACTTAATAAATCAATAAGTTTTATTATTATTATATTAAGAGAACTCCACACCAGCATGTGTTGTCTTTGTTGTACAAGTGCATAACATAACAAATTTTATGCTCAGCAGACCACGTTTAGCTCCGCGAGTTTAAATTTAGAGTCAATTGACCTATTATAAAATTGAAGCCAAGATTATTATCTAAGGCATCTCATGGTATTTTTATTATATTTTAATTTGAAAGAGAGATGAATATTTTAAGATTGTAAATTGTTTGTATATATAAAAATACTCACAACTCGTTTTAAAATTAAAATATAATAAAAAGCCTATGAGAAGCCCTAGATAATAATTTTACCTTTAATTTTTATAATTGGTCAATTCACTTTAAATTTTAAACTCGTGGAGCTATGCCTGATCTGCTGAGTGTAAAATGTTCTATGCTACGCACCTGTATGACGGAGACATCACATGCGGGTGTGGTGTTCTCTTAAACATAAAAAAWAAATAAAAACAAACAAGAAACAAAAATTACGAGAAACTAATATTTATACTTGTGTATAAAATAATAATTTAAACTGATTTAAATTTTACTTATAAATTAAACGTTAGATTTAATACGATTGATTTTAATTCTGAATTCAGTAGAAGAATGTTTATAGATGGTACAAAAAGCTTCCAAGTTTCAATATTAATTTTTAGTTTAACCAAGACTTTATTATTTGATAAAATTTATATTTTCAAGATTTCAATTACAGTTCAACATTAAAATCATACTGAGGAAATTAACTTTAATGTTCTAAGTTCTAATCAAAGCTTAGTTTTTTTGAACTAAAATTGATGGTAGTAGCGATTCCATTAAATAAATTAATGTTGAAAATATATAAAATAAATTAACATACCTGTCTTACCTAGATTTTTTGGTAATGTTTTTGTACTATCAAAATGAATATTTTTCTTCTCTGATTCCATCTATAAAAAAAATATATTTTTATTAGAACTACAACAATCATTAAGTATAGTAAAAAACAGTAATAAGCAAAGAAAAATAACAAAATTAAAATTAAAATAACAGCAAAGTTGGGTCAACTTTTTTTTTAAAATTATTTTGGATTTTGATAGAAAGCTATCAAATTCATAAAATTGAAAATCTTGAGATAATATTAGCATCAACAAAAAATATTATCTGTGTTTTATCTAGTTTTCCTTAAATTTTACTATATTTTAATTTTAAAGCGAGTTATAAATATGTAAAATAAAACTAAAAAATGCTTATGTGCACTGATACTTAAGTGTCGGTTTAATTCATTAATTTATTTTTAATTATTTCTCAATGCAAATTTGCMATGTTATATATTTTTGAGATATAGATAAATTACAATATATGCGGATTAGTGAGAACATGTGAATATAGTGATAAAGTTTCAGATGAAACACACAAGAAACTTGTTAGTGTAAACATATTCAATCATTTGCTAGTATTCTGCAAGTGTTAGTGTTTAAAACATAACTTGGCCCTATTGGGTACGTGTGTGAGTGGATAATACAATAAGTCCACTTCAGAGTTTTTCTACAATAATTTTATTAAGCAAAGGGATGGTATTAAATTATTTATTTATATTATTTATAATTGTTAATTAGTTAAGCCCATTTTAAAGTTGTTTAAAGAGGTGGTAAATAGGAAGATTCGGTGGGTCAATAAAACTATTTAATCTGTCAATTTGTATTTCATTCAGCACCATTGCTTAAATATATGTAGGTATATATTTATTTATTTTAATTTTACCTTATTATTCATTTTTGTTTCATCAGTATTTTCTTCATCAGATTCATTTTTAGGTATATGTTCTACCAGCTCTTCTAGAAACTATAATTCAAACAAAATAATTGTTTTAAAATTAATGTTAAAAAAAAATTGTTCACAATATTTGGTATGCAAAATATACTTTATGAATATCTGCTGAATCAGGTTCGTAAACATTGTCATTTAACAATGATGGAATACACGTTAAAGGATGAGGTACTGCTTTATCATCACTTTTATATCTTCGAACCACTAATATGTCAGGATTAACATTTTTTTTAAGATTTTCTAATATCACATCAATATAAGGTTTTAATTTATTAGTTTCAAGATTTATTTTAAACCTATAACAACACAAACATTAAAAATCTGGCAATTTAAATTATCTAATATAAATGTGAAATGTCATACCTCATCTTCTTAGAAAATGGAACAGTTGAATTCATACACAATAACATAGAATACTCTCGAGTTTCAGTAACAAAAACATATAATTTGATGAGTTTAAAAGTTTTGATACGGAATTCAAACTTCCATAAAAGATGATGAATCCTATTGTCACTTGCAGTATCCTTTTAAACATAAAAATGCATAAGATTCAAAAACAATTATATTTATTTAATTAAAATTATTGTATGTGAAAGTCATAAAAACACTAAAAATATTTTTAGCTTACCGTCAAATTTGAAGATGATTGTTGTGACTCATTCAACTTTGTTGTAGGGAATTTGTCATCTTGTGATTTTTTAGACAAATCCATTTCAAACTTAGAAGAATCATATTTTTTTTTTTTTAGAGGGTTTAGACACATGGTTCGACGACTTAACAAATCATGTTGTAATTTCACAGTTAAACCACAAACAGGCGACGGATCCATGCACATGACAGGAAAATTTAGTTTAAGCAATTTACTCTCAATCTTAAGTCTTCGTTCATATGAACAATAGGTAGGTTTACATTTTTCAATTATTCGATCTACATCTCTCAGAATAGACTGAAAAAATGCATGATACAAAATAATTTATTAATAAATAAAGTATGAAATTGACACAATATACATATTTTTTGTTAAAAAATTTTAATTACCAACTTACCAAACGATGAGGATGCAATAATAATCGAGCTACTCTTAATGCCATTACACTATATTCACATGTTTCTGGGATTTTATTATGAATTTCTGCTATTACACGTCCATTATAAAATAACCTAGGTCTAGCTTTTTCAAGTAAATCTAATAAACATGGTGGAAGTTGTTCTTTTTCCACAAATTCTAATATTGAATCTTCAGCGTAACTATAAAAAGTTTCAACTGGTGGTTGATCCTTATTCATGGTTATCTTAATTGAATAACCAATATCAATAGTGTACAATGTGATCACAAAGACATTTGGGTTAACCTCTGAAGGATCATCAAATAATTCATCCAGCAAACTTGATGGATATAAATGCTGAAACAAATTAAAAATGTATATAACATAGAAACTTTATCCTATTATTTTATTTTTCATACTTTTAAGGGCCACTCTTTAGAATCGGCAAAAAAACGTAATTTTTTTCTGTGTATTTCAAATAATTTATCATATAAATTATACTCGACTTTTTTAGTCTCATTGTTGTTTGGTTTTTCATCAACAACTAATGGTATATTATAGCTAAATTCTGGCTCTAATTCAGTGCATTCACGTTGTAATTGCAGAACTTCCTTATGGAGATCTTCCATTTCTATATTTGGTTCAACAAACTCTTCTGGAAATTCTTTCATTTCTAGTAACTGCTTTTCATCAACTTTTTGTTGTAATGCTTCAATCGTTTTTTTTTGTACCAAATCTTTATATTCTTCTTTTGTTTTTAGAAATTTATCTTTAAGTTCATAAAACAATTTTTGCTGTCTATCATAAACTGGATCACTTAGTGTATTACCTTTTAACTGTTGTTCTTTGTCATACTCTAGTTTTGAATTTTTATAAAACTCTTCTTGAAATGTTTTCATTTGTTGATGTAATTTTTCTTCTAATTGTTCTTGTTGAATTTTCAATTTTAATGGTATTTCGTCTAAATCTTGTATATTTTCTATTTCCATTTGTAGTTGTAAATCTTCAAATTTCTCAGGTTTATCATTATCACTTTTTTTTTGTACATCTCCTTGTAATTCATGTATTCTACCAATACATTTTACTTGTCCTTCTTTATCATTCTTCTGTTGTAATTCTTCATTATACTGTTCTTTTTCTACAGAACTAAATTCTTTGTCTGTAGAATTAAATTTTTCAATTGGACTAAATTCTTCTACTGAACTAGATTCTGCTTCTTCTTCAACTACATAATCATAAACTATTTCGGTTACCATGTTTACATCTTCATTTAATTCTTCTACTTCTTCTTCACTTTCTTGTAATGACTGTCCATCAGATTCATCTACATTTATTTTAGACTCTATCTGTAAGTTCCAATCCAAGCCGCCTGTTACTTCATTGTCAGAATTTGATAATCCTTCCACATCTACATCAGACTCTTCTTGTGTTCCATCTTCATTTACAATGTCAGGCACTGCTTGTACTACTTCATTCTCCAAGTTTTCCATTTCAATATCAGATTCTTCTGGTACCACTTCAAAAAAGTAGATATCAGACCCTTGTTCTACTTTTTCAGTTATTTTATCAGATTCTTCTGGTAATTCTTCAATTGAATCATTGCCATCATCAGCCTTTTTTATAACATCTTCATTACATTCAGAACGAATAGGATCTATCAATATTTTACCTTTAATTGTATCTAATTTGGTTGGAAAATAATTGTTAAGCAAATTTTCAATTCTTTTATAATAAGGTGCAGCATCTTCCTGGAATGAAAGAAGTAGTTTTTCTAAGAATTTTTCTTTGATTATTGAAGAAAACATTTGATTAAATTCTTCATTATATTCCCTTTCTAGGTCTTCATCGTACTTTTGTTCCATGTCTATCTCTAATTCTTCAATTTCTTTTGTTATTTTTGCAATTCGTATTGCTGTTAATTCGTCACATTCTTCTTCTTCGTTCACCTTGTGCTTTTTTTTTTTATTTTCCATCTTTTTTCTATTTTTCAAATCACATATAAGTGATTCTATTTCTTGTAGTATTCTTTTATAATTTTCATCCATAGTTTCTTTATGTATATTTATTTGTGTTTCTTCATCATCATCTTGCTGTGATTCTTTAATATTATGCTTTACATAATTACCAAATTGTGAATTTTCATTTAATTCTGGTTGTATGCATTCTTCTTCCATATTTTTTTTTGATCCTTTGATTATTTTATCTTGAATATCTCCTCCATTGTCTTGTGATATGTTTACTTTATCAAATTTAATCTCTACATTTTTATTTACCACTTGTATATCTTTGTGATCTATGAGATTTATATTCCTGACTAATATGTTTTTATGTTCTTTACCAATATTTTGTTGTTTTTCTCCAAGTGCTTCTTGCTTTTTTATATCAAGCTCTTGTTGACACTCAGAACCAACTTGCACATCTAGGTATAATTCCACTTCTTCGCCAGGCATTGGTGGAACTTCAATTAATAACTGAATTTGTATTTCATTTTTTTCTTTTTCAGAATCTTTAATTAGTTCTTCATCGGCTTCATGTTCCTTAACTTTATCAATTTTAGGTTGATCATCTGTATGGAGCTTTTTATTTAACTCTTCTTGCACTTCCCCAATTATATCTACTCCACATTCTAACTTATTTGGTAAGTCAATATTTAATTCATGCTTTTTATCACTAGATTTATTTCCAACTTCTTTTTCAAGGTTATTTTTTTTTGTTCCAACTTTAACGGGTAAAGTTTTGTAAGACTTTTGTTGTATATCTCTATTAAGTTGTAGTGGAAAATCTCCTAGATTTGTTTTTTTCTCCAATTTCTGCTGTTTAATTATTATGTTATCATTATGTTGTTTAACAAATTTGCCTTTCTCTTCCTCAGTGTTGTGTTGTTTACTTGATTTAATTTTTTTTTGCACTTCTTTTTCCCTAATCTCAGTTTCTTCGCCATCAGTTACCTCAGATTCAGTTTCTTCACTTTCTTCTGAAGTTTCTATTTCAACAGTGCCTAGAAATGAATGGCCAAGATTCAACAATACCTGAAAATAAAAAAATGTAATTATTATATATATATACATATATTTATATTTTATACAAATTTTATTTGATACTATGTTTTCATAACTTATCATTGTTAAAATTCAATGTAAATTGTGCTAATGCCTGAGATAAAATAAATAACAATTCAAGTTAAATTATTATGTAAAAATAATAACTTACTCTCGCATGTCTTATTAGTTTATCAGCTTCGTTTTCCATAATGATAAATTGATAATAGCTGTAACATTGAGTAAATATTATAAAGTAACTACAAATTAGTTTTACTTATATTAAATAATTTAAAAAAATAAAAATCCTTATAAATACCAAAGCTTAATATCATACAACAAATTCTTTGAAACATGTATAAATAATATATTATATGTATTATATAAATTAAGAAATTATAGACTAAACACAACCTGAAATTAATTTTAAAAATACCTATGCCTTTACTTTAGAATATTGTAAAAAGTTGTCTTTGACATTGTTTGAGTTCAAGGTTAATATTTTGGTTTTCTTCTGAATATCAAAATAACTCATTTTAAAGTTTTTTATTCAATTTTATTATTAAAATATTGTTTTCACAGGTTAAGTGAATACATTTTGGAGAGCACATTGATGTACAGCTTGAAAGTTTTGTAGAAATAGTAATTTTCTTTAAATTATATATATATATATATATTAATATCAATTTTATATATATCTAAATTTAAAAAAAAACCATTTTAAAATGTTTTTATCAAATATGTTATATTCAAGCGAGAAAAAAGAATATTTTTTAATAGTTAAAAACAATGGTGTTTTCATCATAAATAATTTTTGATACATTTATTAACTTAAAAATCAAGAGTATATGTTTGTTGCTGTTTATATTACAATTAAAAATCAATTATGATGAATACACCATTGTTTTAACTATTAAAAAAATATTCTTTTTTCTCGCTTGAATATAAAATATTCAATAAAAATGCTTCAAAATGGTTTTTTTTAATTTAGATATATATAAAATTGATAATAAAGCAATTTTATTTGATGATGTTTTGTTTTATGTAAGACATAGATATAAGCTTATTGAAACATAATGTTAGTTTTTAACCATCTGGAGGAATAATTGTTAGGTTAAATTTGATTTAACACAAGTGCCTACATCAGTTGTTATTTAAAAATTGCATACATAGGAAAGTGAAAAATGTATTCAAGCAAAGCGAGCCAACATTTTTTTATATCTAATTGAAAACAATTTACTGGATGGCTTGAATATTTGATTTCAATTTCCCATCCTGAATTTAGTTACCTATCTGCTGGACCACAACACATTTCCAAAACTCAACATTGAATTAGTGACTCCCCAATTTGTATAAATGATTTGAAATCAATTTAATATAATAATATGAACTTACCGCCGTACTTCAGGGCGTGCAATGTGTTTAACGACGTTGTCAATTGAGAGAACTAGGAAGTCAATACAACAAAATTGATATAGACACCTACTTTTGGTAGGTAGTTAAATTTATCTGACAGATTGTAAGACTATTGAGAGGCGAGTAAGAAGACTTATTAAGGCTGTGTACTCGTCTATAAAGTATGAAAATATAAACTTTATGCCATCATCTTTATAGGCGTTAATGTGTTGGTGCTCTGTGGCATAAGACAATGAGGGTCAGTTAATGCGCAAATGCAGATACTTCTATATCGATTGTTATAATAATGCATTAATGTCCAATACTAGGTACAGTTTCACTCCTAGGTCCTAATTCTTTAGTGACAGAAATGGAAAAGAGAGGGTTTTCACGCGCCACTGATAGACTCGTAGACTGTCTGATTTAGTCCTAATCAGTGAAACACCGTAGGCATATCACCTAAGGCAATAGCTAACACTTATTTACTTCGTAGTTGTGTACTCACGTGACGAGTAGGTATGAACAACGGCTGCCGAAGTGCCGACTATATGGCGTAGTAGTACGGATTAAATATTATTTAATAATTAAATATCATCTAATCCATGGTAATAGTGACACGCATCTGACTATGTCCGAGCCGCCACTCTTACCCGGTCAGGGCGTCTGGGATGGTGGGATCTGAGCGATTTGGCCGGTCTGGCTGCATGGCGCATGCCCGAGTCTAGCCACTGACGATCGACCGCAGCGATGCAGCGGCCGGCGTTCGGAGATATCAGGCATGAGGCAATATTATAGGTAAACAAAATGATACGAGCCATGCTGCGCATGCACTACTGTGAGTGAAACAATCGATATCATGATTCATGAGTGAGATGCTGTGATGAGACTGCGTATTCCATTCTATTCATCTATACTACCACTGTGACACTGGCGGGTGCAAAGTGGAAGGATCTCAAAATTCAAAATTTTGAATATGCACTATGCACTCTAACAAAATAAATACATTGTTAATTTTATTTTGTCATGGCATGCAGTGGCGTGGCGAACTTTATTAAGTTATGAGGCACAGTTATATTGCCAGACCCACCACCCACCCCACCCATCACAAAAAACATTAAAAATTTTTTTTAAGATAAAATATATTTATTCATTTAAATAATAATGCTTTTTTTAACACATCAGATGATCTTTGAGGACACCCACCACCCCTCAAACTGAGGCACGTGCCTCAAATATAGTCCTTCG